GATTCAGGCCTAACTGAGCTAAATTGAACCAAAAATCCTCTCGTGGCCAGATGAGGATGGATTGAGTAGAAAGTGTAAAGAGGTAAAAAGCAGATATGACGTATACAGTGGAATTATAGTGGAAAGGGAAAATAGGAAGGCTAAAAGCAAACGTAAATAAAAGAAAAAGGGATATGTTGATAGTGAATTAACAAAACGGGGGAAAATCAATTATAGAGAAATGTGAAAACGGGAATACTGACAAGACAGTGGCGAAAGGTGAAAGTGAATGATGTAATTTCTCTGTTGCCTAATGATAATCTGATTATTTGGAAGTAACTTGACTCTAGTTTTAAAAGCTCTATGTAGGTCCTATCTATTACCAACATACAGGGAGGAAACTGGAATAGCTTTCATTGGAAGAACATGATATATATGCCTACGTAACAAGAAGAAAATAATATATATAGGCCTATATAACATGCAGAAAGTAAGCGGAAGAGGGAGCCATTATCGGGATAGGATATATATCTTACAGCTCTTTATAAATAGTTCCAACCCTCACTACCACCACTAAATAATAATAACATAAATGAATGAATGAATGAATAAATGAATAAGTAAAAAGGATCTCTTTCCTATAACGCCACCCATATATCAGACATAGCTATTGCATCCAATCAACCTGTTATCAATAAACCGCCCCGTAAAGCAACGACTTAATTACTCCCGGAAACACGATTCAGGTGTCTCTGCATTGCAACCAAAATATTAGAAAGGAATATCTTGCTTTTGTACAACGTTTCCATTCCCTCAAATCCCCAGTATTTAAGGACAAGATAACGGTCCTTACTGGGATCAAATCGACGTTACTGATAGCAGAGTCATCAGGAAAGAGGATATCGAAGGCGAAAGCAGTTACCGTATCTTATCTCCACGCAGGCTTTTACGGTAAAAGAAAAGTCAGGAAGGGTAAGCCTAGCATTCGATTTTTTAAATAGTTAATGTAGGTTATTTGAAAAGCAAAGGTGAAGATTTATGGGATGTTTAGTTTGATTTTGAAATATGACTGGGCTTATGGATTTTTTTTTTTTTTTGTGATCACGGGAAAAAAATGGAGGAACAAAAAGTTCATGTTATATTTAGAACCTTTTAGTTACTAATGATAAAGAAGCAATAATAAAATCAGTTTTATCTCTTCACTCTAAAAGTATCACTATTACCATAGTTATTTTTTATTTAATTTCATCTTGTTTTACTGCATTATTATGCATCACTATCGCTTTTATAACTATAAGACTTGCTATTCTCAATGGGAATCCAAAGAGTGAACGATTCTACATGCAGGTAGTGTAAGCACATATCAAGGCACTTAATTGTAGCTGTATATAGGATGTACTGAATATTTAAAGGTTTGGCCTTTCGTAACACTAATG